CTGCTGGGTTCCCCTCGCAGTTAAACACATAATCACAAGAAACGGAGTGCAGTGCATCTATACAGCAGAGAAAGAGGAAGGATGCAAATATCTGACCACCCTGCTGAATTACCTAAACCCCGAACCATCCAAAATCATCAAGCTCTGCCAATTTCCTTCAGCAAAACACCTGATCAACTTATTATACCACAAATCATCATACCACATCAAATTATATATATACTAGCTGATCCCTTGCACTTTTTTGCCCGTTAAAAAAGGCCAACTCTATATGAGACTCGATGGTGATAATGCGAGCAATATATTATGCCTACCTGCTGTGGATTGCTGACCCCGCTTGATGAGTACTATATAAATAACATGTTTTATTTTTATTTTTATTGCATACAAACCGATGAGCAGCTATAAGTGCAACTCAGTCACCTTGGTAGGCCATTGTGTGCATGCGTATAAATGATCAGTCCGAAGAACCAATGCAGGCAAAAAATACTAATTTCTACTAAATATATTTATATTTTTTCTATAACCAATAGCAACCGTATATAAACAATTTTTTTCTTCGTAAATCTTAAAATCCCTGTTTGAGAAACTCCTCGGATCGCATTTATTTTATTTTATTGATCGTTTGACATTTTTTAATTTAAGTTCGACCCAAACAGTCCACAAAAATCTCATCAAACGATTTATTTAAGCATTTTATTTGAATATTATTAGTTTTATATAATATTATTATCTAATTTTTCTTTTAAACATTTTATTTTCTATATCATATTATAATAGATCTATATTAAATCGCTTAACTAAAAGCATAATTTTCATTTTTGTGTACCTTACTGATAAAACGATTTTTTTTATTTATGTTTCATTATGTTATTTTTGTTGTTGTTCGGCTTAAAATTAATTTTTAGTCAGTTGACGCGTGGGAACTGTGATTTTTAATAGATGTGTACGAACAAATAGTACATTATAGGTATAGTATAATATGGAGGAGGGCGTATATCAAATTATAAGGAAAATATCTGGTTCCGGCAACAAAATACATATTGTAATATTATTCTCATCGAGTATGAATTATAATATGGCTAATTATACATCGGAACAATTATTTGTTAAAATACATTAATTAAAAATGTATCTAATGGTAACCTTCAACGTTCACTTTCCTCGAACGATGTTTAAGTTATGCGGAACTATTCAATATTTCAAATTTATCGATTAAAAAATAAATTCAAAATATTCGGCCCAAAAGCAGTTATTGACAGTCTAGTAGTGACTTGCATCTAAAGAGTCTAGAATCAAGATAACAACCATTAAAATTGAAAAACAATTTTGAATATTTGGTGGTAGGTACCTACTGGTCCACCCTCTGCTACTAACGGTGATGTATTCGAAGGTGACGATCGGTATCTATTACGTTTCCAACGAATTGATAATCATCGTCTCGGTGCGATTTTATCAATTCAGTATACCGTATATACCATCTAAATAGGCTATACAATTGATGCTGGTCTCGGTGCCTTGGTTCACCGATTTCTATTAAAATCCATATGTATATCTTGTGAATAATTTATTTTCCAAAATAATGATTTTACAAGAAGCCCACCAGATAACGCAATCGTATTATCTGCAGTTCAATCTGTGCACAGTTATTTGAATAAATGGGTATTGGGCTTAAGCCGTCTAAACATGCTGCAGCAATGACCTACGTCATTAAAGTAATATATTATTGCGTTGTTTGCCAATAATATTTTTCTTGTTTTTTTTTAAGTTGCACTCTTGATTTTTATCCCGTATGCCGGATGGTTAAAATGTATTTCAATCATCACGTCAAAAGGAATAATTTAATAACAAATTGCATTTTTTCTATACATATACTATGTAGGTATGTATTATTAACTTAATCAACATAATAAAATAATTAAGGATTAAAGTATCGCTCAAATTACACACATGTCGTATGTTTATCGTAATGTAAATTTATAATAAACCTAATATAATTTATACAATAAAATAACTGTGGGTAGATACTTGCTACATCCAATAATTGTATTTACCTGCAATAATAAGTATGTGTTCAGCTATGCTAATCTTACTTTTATATTATAATTATCTTGAAATAATATGTTCAAGAAATTGAAATATAATTTACGGAGTATTTTTTGGGTGTTTTTTTGTTTTTTAAGCCAAAACGTATTATTTGGATCTCGAATGTGTTGTTTATCGACTCGGTCTTATGAGAAGCTTGCATTGTGACGCATTGATGAAAGCAAAAAATCCACTGGGAAATCGGTAAGCAGTTTAATGTTTAACCATAAGTAACCTGTTGTCTATTTAAACGTTTCCACTGTAAACAAAAACAATAACCCAATAGTTCGGTTTATTAATCACTACTTGAGTCTGATGCAAAACAAAAGATGGTTTTCAGAACAAAAACATAATATGAATGTATAAGTTTAACCCATATTATAATATGCCCATTATAAATATAATAAATGAACACTGATTAAAAAAAGAGACCATCTGCATTTAACTAACATGTTTTTAAAATGTACTTTTTCATTTCAAAATAAATATGCTTCTTTTAATAAAAAAAATCTATAAATACTCAAAATTAATATCAAAAATTAATTTGATGAATTAGAAATTGTTTTCACTCAACTGTAAACATTTAAAAATCAGATTCAAGCCATTATTATTATCAATGTTTCATATCCTACTTTATATTATATATGTATATTATTATATTTTTCAATAGATTTCATAACACATTGGAACTCCAAACGCCGTTATATTAAGAGAAGTAGCGAGCTCAAAATTGTGTGGTGTATATATGGCAAGCATATCCATTACCAAGATTTCCCATGGCTCTAGTCATAACAATAATATAGGTACTCTATTCTTTATAACCTTATACAAGTGAATAGAGTAAGTCTGCAGTGTATTTGAAATGTGTATATTAAATTAACTGCATATCGTTTCAATAATAATCTTACCCGATAGGTTTACCAGAACAAATATTGATTACAGTATTTAGTACAATTTTGAAAAAAGGATTGCCAATCAGTAACTTATATCAACTAAACAAAACTAAGTTGGTTCAGTGAAATTATTAAACATTTATACCTAAGCTATTGGTACCTACATAGCAGGTACTTCTATTTTGTAAATATTAGTTAATAAAATATAATACTAAGAACAATTAACAATGTAGAATATAATATATAATGTAATTCAGCTGTTGATATTTTCATGGTCATGAAAAAAAAAGCTTTTGCTGCAACTGATAATTACAATTGATATTTCTTAACTAAACTTTATAATACAAATTTATGCAATCGAAAATATATTAATAATTAGAAAACCTACCACTATAATTATAGTAGATATTATATAATATAATAGTCGCTGCAAAAATTAAACATTAACTTAAAGTTATGAATTTATGATACAAACATTTTTTGAATATAATTTGTATTCAGCTATTTAAAAATATTTAAATACTGGGTAAATTGTAAGAACTTATATTTAATACTTAATTGTCATTTCAACGAACATTTTCATGTAAAAGTTCATATCGTTAACCACGTAACCATCTGCTGACTCGAGCTGAGCCATAGACGTTATATTATAGTCTGTGTTGGGTAAAGTATTATTTGGATAAATGTTATTATTGAATTATAATCTAACTATCTCTCATTAATTTTATTGATTTATTATTGCTTTTATAAAATTAATTTTGTATAGATATCCGCCAATAAAATGTTATTATAGTTCTTTTACATTTATATTCACACTTTTTATAACCAACAACAACTATTGTAAGCAGTAAACATATTAGTTATAACACTTCGTATAATATAATTATTGATTTGTTATAAAAATTTGTATTCATATTTATGTTGCAAGCGTAGTGCAACGGACAATGGTATTCTCAAACTTATTTTCCTCGCGAAGAAAACATATAAGTTTACATTATATTATTAGGTAGGTACCTACTTAAAGTAACAACACATTTTCGATAAACATTCCTACAACATTGAACTTCTCTATAAAAAGTATCTAACAAGTCCAATAAAAACTAAAACTGGAGAAAACAAACATTAACCTATTCATATTAAAATATTTTTATGAAAATTACAAACTCGTATTTTTATATATATATACATATTACATGTATATAAATGTATATATATATATATATTAATTGTTATGTTTCGAGTAATATCAATTATACGTATTGGCAATGAAAATATTTTAGAAACTGTTTTTATAGTATTTCTAGTACCTACTATTTGTTATAGCCTAAACAAAAAAGTATACCTATACATTTTTCTTTGAAAAATAATATTTTAATATTAAATATGTATAATGTATATCAATTTAAATAAGTAAGGCTGGTAAAAAATATTGATTGTATTGTCTATATCTAAAAGTCTAATGACAAATGAAATATTATAATATTATATAAAATGACATATTAATACCTGAATGATTGCAAACACACACTTATGTACTCATATTTATTCATTTTAAAATATATATGTATTCAGTTTTTATACTAATTCCAAAAAAAAAGAAAACGATGACAATTTCCAGAAAAAAATGTATTTATTTTTTTATTTATTTATACATTTTATAGTAAAATTATTGTCTTTATCTTAACTTGATATATTGTTTGTTGTATCTAAATAATTCTTAACTGATTACGGTATTGTTACCCATAGAACACAATAATTTCTATTATTATAGCAAGTAGGTAATTCCTAAATATTTGTTTTAGACTTAAGATTACCACACATATATTGATATGAGAAAATGTTAAATTCTTACTGTTAATAAAAACACCGCTACTTAGCTAAGTTCCTACTTGTTGCATAAAATAATCACTCAAATTTGTTTCAAGGTATTTTTTCATTGTTTATATGGACTTATCTAGATTGATAATGAGTATAAAATTGTAGTCAAACAAAATTATTGAAACTAAATAAAATTCTAATTACCAGTATCACCCAAAATGTTCTCATCACAAGGAAATAAAAGTATTTATTCCAAACCTTGTGGAGTTATATTGATACTCAAATTTCCCAGGTCAAGATCGAGAACAATCTGGAATACTCCTTTCTCTCTCCAAACATCTAACAAAACACAGTTTCAATCAATTTCTTACAAGAAACAAATCTTATCAATCAAATTTTAAACATAAAAATATAAAAAATTAAAATTAAAAATAGAACCATGCGTATGTATACAGACACTATCTTATATTAGTAATCATTCTTAGATTTATGTCCATTAATGTGAAGTTTTCACTTAATCAATAACAAAAATACATGGAATAATAGTTAGGTACCGTCAAAAATCAAGCAAACAGCTCTTTACTCATTGTGATAAATAATAAATATCTGTCTGCCAGACATCGAAATACCTACGCATAATATTTTCAACCTTGCATTTAATGCGTATTAAATCAAATCAAATACCTATACATTCATCCGGCTTCTAAGATTGTTGTTATGAAAAATAATCCAAAACCCGTTTTTTTGTAATTGATTAACATACATTATAAAATTAAAAGTCTGTTACTACTTATCGACTAAATGACTTTACTACAAACTTTGACTATGTTTTTTAATAAATGTATCAAATATAATATATACAAATAAAATGTACAAATGCTCGTTTAAAAATATAAGGTACACTGTTAATATAGGTAAGTATTCACATTTTAAATATGAAAACAAAAAAAAGCAAATATTATTTTAACATAAGAATAATAAACCTATTTTCAGACACTGCGATGACATACTATATTAGTATAACAGTTTACAATGTTGAAGTAAATAGTAGGAAAATGTATTTATTACAAACGTAACTATTGCAGTAATTGCTATTTAACGACTCGCCATTGAAATCATATTTAATTTCTGATTCAAATACCACACAGACAAAATAAAACTATCAACAAAATATAATAGAACATTGTTATATTTCGATGTTTCATTATACAAATTATAGAAAAATTAGGTAGTTAGGTACTTAAAATGTATATTTCACTTTAAAAGGTTTACCAAAAAAAAAATACGTGTGTGTTAATATATACTAATGCAGGTGTCATGTTTATATTATTATGCCAAACTTCTTTATGCGTGCTTAAGCCATAGTTTAACATTTTTGATTGGTATTAACAAAAAAATGTTTGTACAGAGGCTTGTGCACATGGGATATATATAATATATAAATATTATACATTGTAAATATTGAAACACGAAGCTTTACTAAGTACATTACTATACTATAGCGATCACACAAGTATGGTTACATGAATTGTAATTGATAAGAAAAAAGTTATCCGGGTATTTAATGATATGGATTACAATTATTATGTCAAAAATGGTTTCAACTAAATAATTTATAATAGTGACATTTTCTAAAAAAAAATACTTATAATCTTGTCTTATTTTTTTGTACACGTTGAATTAGTGTTTAATCACCAAATAATGTGTACCATTTAATGCTGGCCTTACCTGATACGAATAGTGGTTAATTGATCTTTATGAAAATTGAACTGTCTATATTTCAATAATTTTTATCTGACCAATGACAGAAAATAAAACCATTTGTTTTTAAAACCAAAATGCTGAAAATACACAAGTAGGTACAATCAGTCAGAATTTGTGTTATATTATTTAACTTACAAAGTTTAAATTTAAAACATTAATTTTTTTTGTTATATTTTTGCAATATTATAAATTACACAAGACATTTTTCTCCATGAACATGTTTGTTATACCTTTCTAGGTAAACTGTGTTAATAATTTTAGAAACAAGGAAATAAGTTGCTATAATTCCAAAGTTGGGAAAAATTACACATTAGATAAAGCCACAGCTAGAGAGCCTTAATAATAATTATTATGATGTTAAAATATTCCATTTTTAAATTAAATTTGTTACATTTATGCTTTGTGTCATTCAGTTTTAAGTTATTTGTGATAAATTATCTGCGTCAACAATTTTTTTAAAATTTGTATTGGTTCATTCTGATTGCTAATATGTTTTACTTATTTCAATTTAAATACTAAGTGATAAATAGATTATAATTAATCGTAGTTTAATGTACCCCGAGCAATGCCAAATTATTATTTATTAAGATCATATAAAAATATATTATAATTATATATTATTTAGAAGTCTATAGATTAAACACGAGTGTAAAATCAAACAGCGATAAACGTTTAATAATTGGATGTGGTAATTAACGCATTAATTAACAAACTAACAAATTAACAAACCTGACTAAAAACTTACTTCACCTTAATACAATCAAAAAATAATAATAATTTGTTTACACATAAACCATTTTTATAATTATTGAAATCGATTCAATTATGTTCAATTTCCCCAGCGATCAATTCACCTTATAACGCTTGAACATATACATCTCAAGTAACATAATTAACATATATCACATTATATGGCCAAACACTATATTATTTAGTGCTGGGTAAAGCGGAAAAAAAATTTTGGTTCCTATATGTATAGTGATTTGTGATTATTTTTCACCTTGAATGAACACATCTCGGGACAGTTAAAAATATTTATACTTAGTATAATACTAAAGTAATAACTATAGTATAATAATTATTGATCTACATGTACCCATAGAATATTTAATATTTATTTATTTAAGTAACAAATATAAATTACAAACTATATAATACATACAAATTACAAACTTTTCTGGTTCCAAAAACCATACGAAAAATAAGCACAATATAAATTAATGACAAGAATATCGTATAACAAATCACGAATTTAGAGATGATAGAAGGATCGGTGCAAATTAGCTAATGACATACAATACCTACCAAAGAGGTTCATTATCTTCATAATGAGTAGGTAGCAAATCTAAAAATATAGAATGAAACAGAAAGAACAAATTGTCTTGGTACCAATTTGGGGAACTTGTAAACTATATATTGATTTTACTCTTAGCTTGTTATTTTTTTATTTTCCCTTACATTGTTTTCGATACGATATCTAAGACCTGTAAAACATTTTCAAAGGATAATTAGTGATCAATATTCACCTATTTCTAGACAAGGCAATGCCTGTTATCGATCATCACTTTTAGGAATTGATTTGAATATATTGATACATTTTTACATTAAACTCCTGCAGAACACTTTTGTTTTTATAAAATGAAAAGTTAAAATTAGAATTAGAAACATTAACAAATAAACTATGAGTTGAAAACACTTTTTACATAATGCGAGTATGCGTAATGACATTTGAAATTATCGTACGTAGAACATTTTTTTTTTAAATAAAATATAATGTAATTGTACGTGAACACGCAAGAACTGAAAACTAATTATGCTCATGAATATGAAAATAAATTACAACGGTAAACAGGTAATGGAAATCCAAGTGGTTGTCTCTGTTATTTTCCTTCTTGTAATCTGAATAAAAATTAAATTGCGATTGACTTTTTTAGTACCTATGTACAAACTAAATGTAGGTATGAAATATTTTATAAAAATAGCTTTGTCTATCATACACCATCTGAACATTTAATTAACAGTTGTAGTGTTTAATTCATTCTAATACTTAATTTATTTCACCAATAATAATATCATTATTAATTATAATGACTTTTAAAATGTAAAATATAATATATTCTTATACTTGTTATCACTAACAGTATCTTAATATACCTGTATAAATTGTTGAGTGTCGTTATTTAAGAGGTCTTGTACCACGATATTAATTGCAAGGGACCCAAATTTAGAGCCAAAAAAACAATGTAAAATATACACATATAATATACAATTTATTTAACAAATAATCCATTTATATTTATAAAATATTAGATAACTATTGAAAAGTATATTGTAGTAAATATTTATCAAGCATTATAATAAAAAAATTTAAGTGCATTGACTATCATGACGACTGCAACACATTAATATTTTCTTTTCTCGGCAAATCCTCAGTATGTTAAATTAGGGTTAAAAAAAAAGCTGAAGAGGACTCGTACCAATATTTTTTTTTATTAATATAATTTTATATTGAACTTCGTTATCATGAATATTAGCAGAAATCTCGTACTATTATTGGGGCCTAAATAATAAAATAAAATGTATATATATATAGGTAACTTTGCTGGAACTACCGATATTAAAATTGCACTATAGATAATGTTACAAAATTATTTGGTTTTTCCTTTTTTTATTTAATAGATATTCAAATACTGAAAATTCACAAATTATTTTGTTTTCAAACTTTATTGTATTTTGAATTTATTTACTTGAGTTTTAAAAATCTGGTACAATGTTCCACTGACGTTATTCTTATAGTAATTTAAAATATCAAAAAAACATCAACACAATTTTTTATTTTACGCGCAATCTTCTAAAGTTCAAAATTTCCGTCTCTTCAGCTAAAAACCGTTTTTATGTGTATAAGGTTTACATACAATGAATTGTTGAATTTTTTTTAATTCAAACTGATTAAGTTTCAAAAGTAAGCCTTTTAGATTTTATAATTTTTCTTTAAAATAAAGAAAGCCGGTTTCTGTTCATAAAGCACGTCAAGGAAAATAATAATATTAATAATAATAATTTTTTTTATTTAAAATATTATCACATATGGCTAAAAAAATATTGTGTATACATTTAATTTCATATACAATTATATGAACATTTTGGACAGTATTATTATAAGAGAATAGTGTATTATTTTTATAATTTTTCATTGTTGCTTGAAAGAATTTTTAGGGGACTAAGCCGCTCAATAACTCCTACTACCCACCAATGAGCATTATGGATCATTATAAGCATGATTAAAGAAATACTTTTTTTCTTTAACACCAGGTGACTCTTTTGTCACGAACAATTTATTATTTCAAACGGTATTGATGTTTTTAAAAATATTATTTTACATGGTTTCAAGTTGTTACAAAACGTTTTTTTTTTTTTTAAATTATATTTTTAATTATTAAAAAATTAATTATTTTTAAAATAACGAGTGGCTCACGATAAAAGAATCACCCTTTATACTCGTATTACTTTTTTAACTATGATTTTAAGTAGGAATCTATATGATATAACTGATATAAGATATTACAATATATTATTCCATGTGCACATTATAGACGATAGCAAAACAACAATGATATTATTATTCAGCAAACCTTGATTGTTCGGTAGTGGATAAAAGTAGGTGTTATAAAAATATGTGATTCATTTTAGTTCCGTAAATACTAAGTAGTGTGAATTAAAAATTATTGTCCTGGCGAGCGAGTTCTTGCTGTATTCGACCAGTGGCGGCTTTCCTGATGTGTTATCAAGCGCATGGTCATGTATACTCGTATGATGATCTCAAACATAAGAACATCGATAGTAAGGCGATAGTGATGAACTGATGATATTACCACAGATTATATTAAATTATTAATTATTTAAATAATAATTAATTAACTATTAAATATTTATATAATCTGTGATATTACGATTGACACGACTTGTGATTGAACATCAACTTATTTCCAACCCATCTGTTGCCCGTACCTTTTATTTGTATGTTTACAGTGTACAATCTTGTTGGGTGTTAGAACCTCAATCATATAGTTGAATAGAAGTCACAATTTCTGGTAAATTCTAAAAACGATCAGTTCTTGTAGATGAGTGAAGGGCCTGGAATTATTATATTCACTAAAAACGTACTAAATAGTAAATATACAAAGATTTATGCACTAAAATGTAAAAAATAAGTTAAAACTAAAAACAATTTAAAAAAATATTCATGTCCATTTAATTGAAACATGTTCAAATATATTATTAAATAATTGACTCATCAGGTTGCATATTGTACATTTTGAGTATTATTCGTTCGCCATTTAAATAAAAAGTAGTGAACGTTAATCAATTTAAAAAAATGTAGGACATTTTTATAACGTTTTTATGTATTACCTGGAGAGTTATGTTGAGTACAAACGACAGCCGACAGGTACCTACATTTTTAAATAAAAGTACAATATGCTAGTGTTCAGAAAAAGTATTGTTGAATCGGAAAAAACTTTTTTCTATACATCCACCTAAAAATAAAGTACACTAAGTTCTTAAATAGGTTTTTACACTAGATTTTCGCTATCGACGTCATCGCTGAGGTACCTACGGCAAACTTTATCTTATTATAATAGCTATCTCTATCGATGGCCAATAAAATGATTAAAGTATTAACAATGATAAGCCAAAAGGTCTACTATATAAAGGTAAACATAATTGATATATGAACACCTATATATTAAATAAACAATTAGTAATATTATATATTTTTAATAATATACAAATTCATATAATTCCGGTACCAAATTATTAAGCCAAGTACGTTGGAGAATCGTGTGTACTGGTATCATATCATATATTTTATGTATTTATAGGTATTTGCACGAAGGTACTCTTGTAAGTTGTAATTTATCAGTGGTATTTCAGGCATGTGTTTCTGTATTTAAATATGATAAGAACCTTAGCTCTAAATCTTAGCAGCGGTAACTTCGGTATCTACTCACAAATAAAGTCATCGCACCATAGTCTTCTGGCCAGAAAGAGCAGTTTCATAAATTTGAGTAAGTTGCCCGCAAAACTCAAATACAAAATGTACACAATTTATGTATAAACATTTGTGAATAAATATACAATTTACAGTTTATAGTTTATATATTTGTGTAAATATATAGAATAATACATTTTTTAAATGAACCAATTGTATAATAAACTTTGAAAATTATTTTTTGCATTTTGGGGTTAGCTCATCTTTGAATGATATAGTAAGCTACGGACAATGGGCTAAACATCTAAAAGAAACATCAGTAATCACTGTTTTTACGGAACTGCACTCAGACCGCTTTGAAAATAGAATGACTTATCATTAGTTTTAATTCTAGGACGCCTACACCAGAAATATATCCAACCAAGGTTCTTTCTTTCCTTTTATGTTGTACAATTTTATTTTCAACTTATACAAAGTATTTGTTTCACGCACACTTTTAATAATAATTTTCTCAGTCAAACACTAGAATTATATATTTACAATACAACCGAGATATAGCTATTGTTTAAATGTTGAAAATATATTTTTTCATAATAGAACCAATAATTGACTTTTAATTTTTAGGTATTTAAATTTAATTTTGTGGAATGGTGCATCATTATTTTTTTAGTTTTTTATGAATTAAAGGATTTTTACAGAGGAAATTTATAAATATTCTATGTTTTGCGATTCATCAAATTTATCCATCTAATTCCATGAACTTTAAACACGAAACTAAAAACCATGAAATTAAAAACACTAAAAAAATCCTATTTATTGTGAAACAACATAATATATTATATTAGTATGAATAGGCAATATATTATTCAGAAAAGAAAGAAATCTATACATTTTAAAAAGTTATGTGATGTACATTATAGACACAATTTCTTAACAATAATTATAATATTTATTAAATAATATGTAATATTGCATAATTTATTGAATTGGTTTAGCAAATATTATGTTATAATATTATATTTGATTGACAAGTTAGTATATTTTATGGGCATAGGTACAAATACTGTTCTGTCCATGAAAATTTTTTGTTCATTGTTCCATTAAAACTTTTAAATGTGTAATTGTATTATACAATTATTCTTTGTTGATAAAAGTGAAATTAGTCTAAAAACTTTCTTTTAAAACAAAAGTTTAAATTACATGACGGATGCAAATCTGATGATTGATGAGTCTCTTACTGTTTTTGTCTAATTTTTAAAGCTCGCGTGAATTTTAATTTTTCATTTAAATACAGTCAGTTTTAAAATTAATTTAAACACTTTAAATGTTGCTTAAATAATGATATAATATCACATTAAAATATTCATTAATAATATTAGAGAAATATAATCAATTATATAGTAAGTAATAACAATCATTTAAATTAAATTGTGTTTTACTTTTTACCAAGAATGTATATGGTTGTATTTGGCTACATTTAAATCGTTCCCAAAATATGTCGATACCCAACATATCGATTATATAGGTTGCAGGTACTTCTATATAATAATAACTAATAATAACTCGGACATTGAAACACGCAAGTATTTTCCGAAAATGAATGTGTCAAAATAGTGGAATCAGTTTTGGCAAAATGCCTATGCAAAATCCATTATTTTATGGGTGCTCTAGAACAATGCGTTTCAAATAGATACTTAATTCTTTTCATATAACAAATATTTTCTTCAAAAGTGAAATTTTTTTTT